AACTTGTAGCTTATTATGAAATGGGCCCCTGGTAACATAATAATTATGAAAATGTTAATTGTCAAACTAAAATTAGTTTATAAAGTGTACAATATTTGCCACATTTGAGGTGAAATGGTAAATATCTGTAGCTATTTTACAAGGGAAATAGTTTGTAATTTTTTTTGTTTAAAATTATGTTTCACTGCCTTAACGGCGTTTTTTCTTATTTTTGTATTGTAGTCTTCACTTCCTTTAAGTTTATATATAATCGTGCAAACTGTAAACACAGTAAATGTGTAAGGTTTTGCAGAGAGAGCCCAGCATCATAAATATTTTACATATATTTATTTATTTTTATTTTGTCGGAAAGAGGGATTTGACATGCTACATTTGCATATGATTTTGCATTCTATCTACTTCTGATAATTATTTTTGAAACTTAAAAATTAGTTTGCAAATTGCAGGTAAAAAGCTAAATACCCCCGCCGCAGCAAACCTGCAGACTAAGCGAATTTCCATTTGACTGATTGGATTTACACTGAAATGTCTACTAAAAAATATAACATTAATTACCTATTTAAATAGAATTAGTTTAACAAGCACTTAGGTTTGCTGCATCAGGGAGGGTAAAACTGTTTTTTTTTTTTTTTTTGTAAAATGTTAATAGTTAGTAAGAAATAAAAACATTTTCCAAATTTGATAAAAATAGGTTCATAAACAAAAGCAAACTACAACAGTTTACTTATCCTCCATAAGAATAACATAGGAATTTTAAATTTACAATTTTTTGGAATTTTCTCCGTAACCATTAGGCGCATAATAACGCTTCAATATACTAAATTATTTGTTTTTTTAAGCTCTACAAAATGGTTTGGAAAGAAATTGCTAAATTTTATGTTTTTTGGGTCAAAAATGGGAAAAACCTATTTTTACCCCATAAAACGCCCCGTAAACCCCCGTTCCCCTGGTCCGATCAAGCTGGATCGCGAACTCGTTCGAATAAACGTAGGTTTACACGTTTGTACCAAATTTCATCAAAATCGGATCATTTTTGCTCGAGTTATCGTGCTAACGGACATATATATATATATATATATAAATATATAAATATATAAACATATAAATATATAAATATATATATATATATGAATTTTAACGGATGGTGTTTTTGGCCTCTAGGGACCTCAAAACGAAAAAAAAAATCGGTCCCGAGTCCAGGTCTTACCATGAGTACTACGGTAATAGCTTATTCCCTATATGGGAAATTCGCTAAAACTGCTGGCTCGAATGATAAATTATTATAAACTTGCTTGTTTTATTTACTTTTGCTGAGTACCGATGTGGTGTGTCAGGTCTAGGAGATGCCCTGGGTGTAGACTGGGCCAGTCTAGTGTGTGAGAGTCGTCCGCCTCGCCCTGCCACCGACACTGAGCCCGGCGCAGCTAGACGCAGATGGCAGCCTACAGCTGTACTGGCGCGTATAGGTGTCAGTCTGCAGTACGCCGGCCAGGAGGTGTTTGACGAGATACAAAAGTCACTCAAGCCAGAAGGTCAGTGTGGTTGCTAGCAGCCCAGAGAAGTAAGGTAACAGAGGAAATTTAAGTGGTGTCTAGTGCAAAGTCCAACACCAGCCCCTCGTCCTCATGTACTACAGTGCTCACGGTGGAGGAAGACCATGTGCAATAGGAATTTCCCCAGTGTTTGCCGATCAAGTTCTTCCTTGTTCATCACAAGCTATTTGTGGCACAACACACTAGAGCTAAAGCGTACAGTTGTTCCACAAGTGTGCTTCCTCTGTACCTTACTTTTTTTTAATACATTTTTAGCAGGAAAATTTTGATAAAATTTTGTTAAATAATATCAATAAAGTAATAAACACATTGGGACTTCTCCGTAAATCTTTGAATCTGTCTATAGTTTTGTGTACACTGAAAACGCTCAAGTTTGGAATAATTGGTTTCCATACACAGTAAAGATGTTTAGAGTTGTTAATCATTTATTGTCCTTGGATCAATTAGAAGTGCAGCCAAAGCTGATTATGGTGTCCTTCATGGTCGAGTTCAGGGTTCATTACATTTTTACCATCTGTAAAAAGTTGATTTCAATACTTGTTCATTAATAATTTTTCAAAGCAGGGATGGTCGTCAATGTCTTTAGAATGATAAATTTATAGGTTATCAATGTCATAGAAGTAAGAATTTTGAAAAGTATCAAAATCACTTACAGAGGGCAAAGAACTGACTTAGTTATCACTCAACTATCTCATATAAAATGATCATTCAAGAAATATTAATCTAAAGGTCACCCGTCAATTAATGGTGCTATCCAACAAAAAGTTGTCATAGGTAGTATCAAACAATACAGTAGACTCCCTCCTATCCGGACTCCTCGGGACCGAGGCCAGTCCGGATAACGGTTTGTCCGGTAAAACCAACGTCCCCAAAAACTCGTTAAAACGGACCATTTAGATTCATACTGTATACAGTATTTGGCTTAAATTTAGTAGAGCATTGTATTTACACACGTGATCACTGGTTTCAAATCTTTCCCACGAGAACAGTCGTTTCAGTACCACCCACTTCCTGCCGATCTAGTCCGGTTATTCCGATGTGCTGATAAAAATTGTCCGGTTAAAGAGATGTCATTTACGCCGAGTGAAGACCGGTTAAACCGATGTCCGGTTAACAGGTGTCCGGATAAGAGGGAGTCTACTGTACCAGAGTTTTTGGCCGGTTTCCTTACAAATAACAAATTTCAATGGCTTAGTTATAAGCAATGATAAAATGTGTATTACAGAAGGCAAGGACACAGAAGGCCCAGGACTGCTTCACCCTGTAGCCTCCCTACATGTCGCACTGAGGGAGAGACAGGCGAGGCGCAAGTGTTTGTTCACCGGCACTGACACCTTCAAGCGAGCACTCTCCGCTCGCACTGATATCGCCATTAGGTGAGCAAAGACACATTTAAATACCTCTATCTGAGTCACCAAGGCAAATGTTTTGGCAATCAAGGGTGACTCGATCAAACTTCCACAGCTAGGCTATCACAAGGGTCTTGTTTTGAATCATTAAGCTTTATTTAGGATTGAACCAATATTTTTGTCTGATTAATATTTTAATCAAATGTTATATTTTAAAGCTACAGTACTCAATAAGTAGTTAGTTTTATTGTGTAACTATTTAACTTGAATTAAATTATGATTGAATGAAGGCCCCTGAAGAAACACATTTAGAATTTTTAAGGAAAATAAACGGTATTGGAAAATTGACACACCTTCTCCCATTAGCTTTTCAACAGCAATCATCAAGGGTAAGCGGTTTTGGTTATAGTTAAAGAACCATAACATGAAATGCTAAATGTTAATCAAAATCGGACCACATCAGCAGTAGCCTCTAATACAAGGCAGGACGTGACAAAAGTGGCGAAGCCGCAGACCCAGCATGCAACAGCTGTTAGACTCATTTATAATGGAGTATGCGCAATATCTTATGTTAACAAGTTTTTTATTCCTGTTATTACTATGACAATAGGCATGCCAGTGTGATGCTGCCACACACCAACTGCTCGGCCTTGTGTTAGAGTAGGCCATGCTTGTACACACTACCACATACAATAACAAATACAAATAATACTTTGATTTTTTACTCGTCTATTTTATACTTATCATACTTATTGGCTGTAATTTTTATATTGCAGACGACAGCTTTGTAATCTCCCAGTCGCCAGCTTGGAAATGCAACAGTCTACTGGCTTTTGTCAATGGGTCGTCTAAGTTTTACTTTGAGACTAACAAATCACCCAACAATTAGATTTCAATATCAGATTTCAAGGATCATAAGGCTGATTGAAGGACTTTTAGAAAAGAGATAAAGTTCCAGAAAAACAAAGAGGCAAATAAAACAAGTGCACAGTAACAAAAATATTATTCCCTTAATATAGTATCCTTTATGCTTTGGACCTGGACAAAGGTTATATCAGGTAAATTAGCTGAACTTTATTCTTTTACTAAAATAACTATAACTTTAATCAATGTTTGGTAGTGATTGTATATAGATTGTTGATGGTTGTTACTCTTTGTGTTCTGAAATAGATTTTTTTATTTAAATGACTTGTAAATACATATATATTTAGTATGTAATTAATCATTAAATTGTATGAATCAGGATATTTTTTATCTTTTTTCTCGGTGTATTACTGAAAAATGTATCATTTTAAACTGAATATTTGGATGACGGTATGATCATATATATTTAGTAATAATAATGTTTTTTTAATATTTTAAAACAACACGATTTGTCATTTATCAAAATAAGATAAATTATAAGTATCATATTACGTAACATTATGATTGGAAAGTGTTTGTAAAATCAAAAAAGTAAATTAAATCACTTATCCTTTTCTTGCACAGTTATTATTTATCCTAGTGTCGCTAATACATAGACTTAAGATAAAGTAAGTAGACTTCTCATTCTTTTCACCCTTTAGTTGAATCAGAAAAGAAACACAGGTGTGAGTTTCTTATCTAGTATTCTTTAAGTATGTTTACGCTAAATAACTAATAATGTGAAAGGATTAAATAAAATCATTAACTCACTCAGCATTTTGCCGATAAAAAAATTATGAAGCTATTTGCGATGTTCTACTTTTCAACTTATAACATTGGGCCTTTGTGGTTTTTCATTTATTTTTTAATAGTATTCTTAACTATTAATAGGCCATATTGTATGTCATACAGCAACAAATACCCTTGGTTCTATTTAAACCTTTATAGAGTTTGGGAGATGATCTCATTGTTAAATGTCCAGTGTATACAATTCAACAGTTGAATAATAGTTTGACCCAAAGATGAATTGCTGTCATCAAAAACGTCAGTAGGCCTACATAATTTAATTTCACCAGTTTGACTGTGCAGGAATATCCAGAATATCCCAAGATCAACATTTGACAAGTTGACATTGCCGTAGAAGCCAATCTATGAATTTGAAAGGTTTTTGACCTTGAAATAAGTAAACAGCTAATTATAATAAAAAATTTAATTAATAATCAAAATTTTAATCAACAAATTTCTCAATTATATTGAGGTTATTTACCAAAATATTTCAAAATTTACTCAGTTATTTAAATTGTGTTAAAAATGTTGGTAAAGACAATAACAATATCAGAATGGATTGTTTCAACTTCTTTGTATTCTTCTACCACCCCTGCCAGCCGTTCGCAACTCAATCGGAGAAGATATTACCCTCGGAGTAGTTTGTTGAGTCCCCAATGTTCTGTCACTAATTTGGTTAGTATTTTTTGAAGAAACAGGATTTTTTTCATCGTAAGCCGTCGGAGTCTGTGCTCTTGGTTTTTGTCCTTTCCGAAGTTCATGGAACTTTGGTATTTGGCTGATCGGTACAATCCGAGCATGATATGTTTCCTCGCACTCGCCTGCGCCGGCCGTCAAAGAAATCAGACTGGAGGAATTGTCCGTCGACTCGCTTGGATGTAATTCGTAAGAAATGCTTCTGCTTTTTTCACATTGTGAATGAATTACTTCTGTGTCTTCAGGACTACAAGTTACTGACTTTACCTCATTATCCAAAGATGTATTTTCATTTTCCATAGTATTTGTTTTATTTTCAGTTCTAATATCATCCTTTCCCCACTCCATCTGATTATTTATTTCTTCACTTTTCTGTGTCGGTAACAAACTAAGAAAAAAGTTCAGATTTTCCTTAGTCATTTTTGTCTCTGACAATATTTCTAATAATTTAATAAGTTTTTCCAACAATCTTTCAAATTTGGATCCATCAATGTCAAGTTTAATGATTTCTTCTACTACTCGATTCACCAATCTTTGATATTTATCTTGTTGGCAGTATGCATCACTGGGCTGTAAATAATAAATAAGTAAGCCATTTCATTTCATTGAATAGGGTTGTTAAACCTAATATTTTGATGGTGCATTACAATCATTCCTACAAGTTCTGACTCCTACTCAAGTCCTGTAGTCCAAGGGGTGGTATGAATGTTCACTAATGTATTACATTAAAGTAAAAAAGTGTTGTCCAATATTTTCATTTTCCTTGGCACTTTTTTAGATTACTACTATCATGCTACTATTAATTATTCAGCCTGTTTTCACTGACTGATACTATCCAAAAAAGAAAATTGACTTACATTACTGGAAGTTTAAAAACATTACCTGACTCATGTGTGTAACTTCCTCATGTGTCAATAGAAGTTGGCTTTCCTCAGCTAAAATCGCAGTATCCAGGCTTTCTTGTGTAAGTAACTTTTCTCTAAGGTTGGCTACCTGAAAGGCAGAACAATTGATGAAAAGTAGCTGGGAAACACACTATCCCTGAAAATTAAATTACTTTATGTGAAATGCCTATTTGTACTTAAGATAAACAATTATCCAAGAACTTTTTTATAATAAAGAGTATTGGTATTTCATTTTACAAAGGTATCAAAAATTTAAAAAAATACGTAGGCCTACTCTAAAGGAATGATTTATCTGTTATGATTTGGATTTAATAACGCTGAAAGCTAAAACATATTCTTGTTTAAGTTCTCTACTTATTATAATTATAAACTACAGTATTATTCTTGTGTTGTATATTCACTCACCTGCTGTTGAAGCTCATGAAGCCGTTTAGTACTTTCTTTCAATGAATTTTCCATTGATGTCACTGAAACAAGAAACACAATTTATTGTTTTTAGTTCTTACTTTATTGGAAGCTAATTACAATTCTTCATGTCAAAGATTACAAAGGGATTGTTTTTTTCTTCCTGTTATTATTTTAGTAAATTCAATTTTCTTTTGTATAGCTAGACCATTTAGTACTGTGCGAATGGAATGTATGCTGAATTTATTCTTCTAATAGGCCAATCAACAATAATAAGTGAATAAAGTCAACTACTGCAAGTAAAGATTATTCATCTCTATAGCCATGGATTCAGAGAGTTAACATTTCTTTTTATGATTTCTGTTCAAATAGTAAATTAAAAGATAAAGTGCCTGGTTTATTGTCAATGATCCGTTTTATAGTCTGTGACCAAGGTTTCAAACCTAAAGGTTCATTTTCAACCTGCCTACAAGCTACACCATGTGATTGATTTTCAGTACCTATTACAATTTGGCCACATTTTTGTTAAATGTGTTTTTCTAAGTGTTAAATATATTTGACGACTCTTCCACTTCTACCAGGGCCTATTTCTCTTCTTCCCCAAGGATGAAGAGGATTTTTCCAACCACTTGGTTTGAAACCTTGGTCGAAGATTTAAAAAAGGATCACTGACAGTGCACAAGCATTTTAACCTTTTTATTTGCAAAAGATGTGATCCAGAAGCCAAGTATGTTTAAAATTGTAAATTACTCCAAACAAAAGTAAGAACTCACAATGTGTATTGCTAAATGATCGTCCAATCAGACCACAGAAGAGAACTCCAGTAACGAAACCGCAGAGGTTTTCCAGAATTTGCCACAAGATTTGGGAATGAAAGATGTTTTTCATATTGCCAATTGGTTTTTCTTGAACAATTTCAATTGTTCCCCAAACTGGAAGATAAAAATTAATAGTTTGTTAATAATTTGTCATAGGCTAAAACAAGAGTTTAATTTTATTATTTGAGCTGTATTTGTTAGTACTGTATATTTTAAAAGCAAACTGATCAACAACTCGACCTGGTCATTCTCCAAACAACAACATTTAAAAGGCTACTTTGAGCAAGTAATCTACCTTCCAATAAATTAGAATAATATGCAGTTTTGTATCAAATAGTTTTGAGATTACCACTATCAAATCCAAGTATACTTTTAATATTATGGATGATGGTAATTATAAATACCACAAAACATTAATTCCTTTGAGAGAAAAACCGTTTCACTGTATTAAATGAGTCCTTCAAACCATCTTGACTGAAAACAAGTTAGCAGAAAATGTGTAAGGTGTACAAAATCTTAAAAGAAAGCTAAGATTAATGAATACAACAGGTCGTCCAGTGGTCGAAAACTCAACTAAAAATATCTGAAGGTGGCTCTAGACATGCGCCATTCGCCAAGCAAAGCACCGAGCAGCGACTGGCCGAATCGCGAGTAGTGGATAGTTGTTTGTCTATTTGGCAAGCAGAAACATTCGTATTTGTGTTTTCCCCTTCGTTGTCAGTATTTTTGCACACATCAAAGAAAACAAATATTTGCTATTCCCAAAACGAACAGTTGATTGGAAAACAACACACGTGTTACTAGTTATCTCTGTGAATAAAGAATCTGGGAATGCGACCGAACGGAGTTTCAGTACCTCTGTTTCAGAAAGATAAAAATATTGGCATAAATAGTTACAAATAAAATTAAATAGGTTACAGTTCCAAAACCTCATTTTTTACAAATCGAGCACTGTGCTTGCCTATTAATAGATAGATAGATAACATATTCTTACTTCCTGTATTAACCAGTTTTTTGTTATATTTCTTGAAAACACTTGGATACATGTAATAGAACACACAAAGAAAACCCATAATCATCACAGAAATAACTGACAAAACCTTCAACATTTTTATAAAATAACCAAATAATCTTAAATGCTTAACTAACCAATACTAAAATATTTCATGCTTATGATTTGTTTTTATTTATGTACATATACAAACACATTGTTTGAAAACCATGTGGGTCTTGTGAAGCAAGAAATTCTTCAATATCTGGATTACGATTGATTTTAGATTGTGAAATAAACATCTATCTTTATTGACCAGCTGGGTTTTTTCTACTCCAAGAACATTTGAATGAGCCACTCCTTGTGTGCTATTAAATTATTCTTACAGTTAACTTTCCACGTAATCATGTACAGCGACATAAAATATACTTAATTTTACAACAAGTTACTCTATTTTTTTATGGCATGATTAAAGTTGATGAGAAAGATTTTTTTATAGGAGCACACTTTGTTGTAAACTGATTTTTTTCTTTTTAGTTCTAATGCTGGGTATGACTTTAACATAAGACTTAAAGGGTTACTTCAAGGTCTTGTTTATAAGGTTGGTTTTTTCAAGGTTTTGTAAGTTTAAATTAATAGGGTGTTCATCTGTCTATAAGAAGATGAAGATGACCCATTTAAAATAAGCATGACTATTCTTAGTATACCAAGCAAGTTGTAGCTGAGTGAAAATTTAAAAACGTATGTTTTCATGTCCCTGGCCTTTTACTTTAAGGGGTTTAAGGGGTTAAGGGTTTAAAGGGTTACTTCAAGGTCTTGTTTATAAGGTTGGTTTTTTCAAGGTTTTGTAAGTTTAAATTAATAGGGTGTTCATCTGTCTATAAGAAGATGAAGATGACCCATTTAAAATAAGCATGACTATTCTTAGTATACCAAGCAAGTTGTAGCTGAGTGAAAATTTAAAAACGTATGTTTTCATGTCCCTGGCCTAAATATATATAAATATATATTTTAGATACTGGATTTGTAGTTTATTATTATGTGTTTTAATAGTTTATAATTAATGTGTTATAGTTCCTGTTCCTGTTTTATTGTATGTTATAAAGTTCGTTTCAGGTGTTATTATTCCTTGTTAGATATTTATTTGTTTGTTGAATGTTTGTTATCTGAAAGTATATACTCATGTTAAATAATTTTAAGAATATTCCTTGCATTTACACTTGTTCTTATTTTTGAATTTAATTTATTTTTCTAAAGTTTCTGTACAGTAATAGTTCACACTGACTCAGGATCAAGATAAAGATGGAAAAGACAATAGTATTATAAGAAACGCTGCGGACAAGCCTTTTTTAAGGCTTATGCAGTTTTGTATTATATAAATTCATTGTATATGTACTGTACCAAGTAATAATAATAATAATATTTTTTAGGACGGGGGCAACATGTTACACACATTTATTTGGTTTTTAAATAGGTTCTAGGTATTTTTTTTGTATTTTTAAAGTCTTGAAATTCACGACCATGACGTGTCCCTAGGGTGCATTTTCCAACTTTCATGCTGTTTTTAGACTAATTATTCATGCCGAAATATATAAAGCCATATTTTTATGTCATCAATGGTTATTAAACTTACAAAAAAGGAGCATATTATAATTTTATTGTCATTAAAAACCGACTACCATGACAAAATAAGTCTGTCCCTCGATTTGGCGGCACGACCATTTGGGAAAAATTTTCAACTTTGGAGCACGACAGTGGCAAGCCTGGCGTCGATAAAGTCAGTTGGTTTTAGAGACTAGTTCGGGGTGTATGTCAGGATTGTAGTGCCGGTCGTTTCGAGTTGAAAGGAGGAATTACAAGATTAATAAAGGAAAGATTGTGTTTTATGTAATTTTGGTGTGTCCATGACCGTATGTAGTCATTCGATGAAGTAGACATGGTGTTAATTTTTGTTTATAAGATATTTCAATTTCTAGATTAACCTAGAAGTCCACTTTGTATCCTCGAACATGAGGTGCAGGGTTACCACCAGAACAGAGTCAAATAACACGTAATTTCACGACCAAAGTTTCACGACCATCGCGGGTTTTTTCACGACCAATCCAGCCTTATGGATTATAGTGTGTTTGGTCGTGACATTAATATAATTGTAAATTGAACAGTTTAGTTCAATTGAAACACATATTTTTATTATAACTAACAGGATAATTGAAGGATTGTTTAGAAAGATATAGATTATTCCAGACAATTCACGACCGTACCGCTTGTCCCTGACCATCACGTTTATGATTTCTATCATAAAAAATTCAAAAATTAAAATATCGTCATATTTCAATGTTTTATACACAAAAGAAGCACACCTCTATACAAACATAACGATTTTTCGGGTCTCAGGTAAGTTTTTTCGGAGTTATACAAACTTAAAAAGATTTTATTGGCTTTTTTTCAATTTTTTGAGTTTTTTTTTTTCCCCAGAAAAACCAAATATACCAAAAGCTCAGTGACCTTTTTATTGTATAATGGTCATAAAAGTAAATAGGTTTATAGCAAAACATAGTTATAAAAATAATATTAACTATTTTTAATATTCATTTAAACATCCGTTATGGTCGTGACAGGATTTTGTGTTTTTCCACTAAAGATGCTCTTTTAAAAAGAAACTACCAAAGATATTGCGTTACCATGGACATTTTATGAAACTTCAAATGTTAATGAAATAGAAATAATAATAAAAGTTTTGAAAAAAGGGGAAAAGAATTTGCAAAGTGCTTTTCCTGAAAACGTACGTTTTTAAACTTTCACTCAGCTATAGATTTTCACATTCTATCAGTATTTGTTAGTACTTTTAAGTAGCGATACTTTTGGAGTTAAGACTACATGAAAAACCAAAGAGTATAGAGATTGAATATTGGATAATAAAGTAGACATCTCATCTATGAATCAGATGTTTCCAATTTCTTATAAAAAAAATAGTTGTGTGAGCCAGTCATAGAATGCACTAGTAATAAAAGATACTACTTAATATTACTATTTTTTTTTTTTGCTGAAATATTTGATGGGTGATAATTTGATATAGATCACAATAAGTGGTTCCATCAGTTTGACTTGGTGAAAAAGTGTGTATTCTACAGAAATCAGTAATTTACATCAGCACAATCTGTTGGTGGATCATGTAAACCACAGCGACTTTGATTAAAACGTTGGTTAGTCTATGTTAAAACCCTGACAACTTTAATATCAATATTTAATTCTGTTTGTCTATGCTATCAATATAGTCAAATGGATAGGTGTACTGACCCAGCTGTTTGTCAAACTGTAAAAATAATAGTGTAAACATAAAATTACAACAGTAACTTATCTACATACTCACCATGAATAAGAAACACATTCAAAACTTTCCTTCCCCATTATTGAGTAGAATATTTTCATACGTAGATGAGAAAGACTTGTGCAATAACGTTCCGTTTGTGTGTGAAAAGTGGAAATTGGCTTCTTCTCACTCGCTGCATGTGAAGAATGCCTACTTTGAAGGAGAATCTGTGTCCGCTAAAGATATATGTTTTGTGCTTTCCAACTCTCCCTTGTTAGATTCAGTTACTTTGGTTTCCTGTCACAACTCTGTTCCGATATTAAGGCAAATTAGCAGGTAAGAATTTACTTATTTAGCAAATAGTGCTAGTTACCAACCATTATGTCATTAATCTATGGCTATGTTCAGTGTCAATTCATTGAAATTTAATTCTAAAAATGGGATAACAAAAATAATCTAAAGATTAACCAATGCAAGTTGGCATGGCTTCATCTTTGTTGTTGAATCAGAAGAAGAGGTTTAAAGGGAAATTGTTCACAATAACCTATTGTTACACAATCACCTAGACTGATTCAGGATATTTGTATTTTTACTTAAATTGTCAGTTAAAAGACCAAATAGCCTATACAGCATTGTATGATTTTTTGTCTTGGAATAAAGATTGATTGATTTGATTTGATATCAGTGAAAAAACTAGTGCTAACTAAATGTGTCAAACATTCAGGAACTAATAACAAAGGCAAACATGTTTTACGAGACAGAAAAACAAAGCGTCTAGCTTGCTAAAGACAACGGTTACTTGTTCCT